TCATTCATTCATTGCTTAAAATGGCGGATTCAGGTGCGTTCCCGACGTCAACACCAGCTTCACATAAAAAGTCCGAGGTATGGAAGCATTTTAGATTTCGCAAGCACGATGACAAAGATACTGTGGACAAGAACAAAGCTATATGCCAAACAGTTGATGGGCCCTATTGACTTGACTTCCATAGTATGGAGAAAAATATATGGAAGTCAATGGGGACCAAAACAGTTTGGTTATCCATATTCTTCAAAATATCTTCTTTTGTGTTCAACAGAAGAAAAGAAATTCATACATGCATAAATGATGACAGAATTTTTATTTTTGGGTGAACTATCACCCAAAAGCCAGTATTAGTTTTCCTACACCGTTCATAGGCTTGCAGCCTCCATGTTACAGCTAATGCTGTGAGATTTTATGTTTGTTTTGTCTTAAACATAAAATAACCTGATCCTGTTTGATCAAGGCATGCGACTGTTCTGACTTGTCCAATTTTCAGCATCAGTTTTTCATCTTGCATCAAAATTCTGTCTATTCATTGTATGCATTTGAAATATAGAGTTGGGTTTTGTTTTATTGTACCCAAGTGTACCTAAAATAAAAAGAGTTTAATATACAGGTTTGTGGCTCTTAATTTCCTATTAATTAACCATTTGTAAACGTATGTTCACTGTTCATTTTTTATAAATATAGGATTTGTATTAAATCTATATTCATTCATATAGTCAAATTGAATCGAGAATTTAAATCAAAAATCGAATCGAAATCGAATATCAAATCGAATTGGAACATCTGAATCGATACCCAGCCCTAGTGATAATTCATCATCACAGTATCATATGTTCTGCCTATGTCTGTCATGAAAAAGTTGTGGCTGCTGAGTAATTGTCACAGGACTTTCATACAAAAGACAGTATGGAAACTAGAAAAAACAACCTATGAGTCGGTAAGAAAGATCCTACAGCATGGTTCACTTTTAATAAACACCTGTCAAACACTTTGTCACCTTAAAAATGTAAACATGCCATACATGTGACATATTTCACTCACACAAATTGTGGAAAAAATGCCTTCCTGTGTTCATCACACATACAGTATTTAAAGAGTTTGGCTTTGAGTCCTGCACTGCTCATAACATGATTTGTACGGTTGGAAACACAAGTAGTCTGGCAAGAGACCAGTAGGTCTATATGTAAAATGAAAAGCAGGAGTCATGAACTTAGAATTTACTTTAGACAAAGTGTTCTCTACATGTTCAATGAAAAACAACAGATTCACAACATTTAAATTCAAGCACCTAACTGAGCATAATGTACATGTAATGTATACAGACACACTAGCCTATTAAGCATATAAAAAAATTCAGTTAATTTAATTGATTATATTATTATAAGAAACTGAATACAGAATTGTTCTAAACAGAGTTCTAAGCCAATGCAAAATGTTGATTTCAGATCAGTCATAAATCCAGGATGAAACTTTATGTCCAGGGAAGAGGATACAGAGGCACCAGAGCTGGTTGTACAAGCAAGAGATCTCAGATAATAAAATCAGCAGAGTAAAATCACTCAAACTCAAGCCAAAGTAGCCCATCTCTGTTTTTTTCTTCATATATATATATGTATGTATGTATGTAATCACTCAGAAAATAAATAATTTGATTAAGAACAATAGTAAACTACAGATCAATGAACAGGCTCGTCAATAAAAACATAAAGGACTTTGCAATTCATGTTTGCTTTAGGTAGCCTATACCACTAATTTTAACTTAATCTATATCTGTTCATTAGAACACATGACAACACAATACAGACACAATGCGATACAGTAATATTGAAAAGAAAACACATTTTTACTTCAGTTCGTTGAAGAGTTTGATCATCCATTGAAACGATTGTCCTATGTTAACTTGGGCCTGGTTTGTGAGCGTGACATGGGAGTATGGTAAACTTCCCTAACACAGCGTAAAATACGCAGGTACAGACACCGTGGAACCAAAACGCATTATTATGCATGATACCAATGTATACAACTGGTGAAACATGGTTTTTAATCTATGACCGGTGGAATATCGCAGTGACGAATCTGTCGCCGTCTAACGTCTGCTGGAAATTCAGGTAAACATACTTGTGTGCACGCGCACATCCACAGGGCGCACTGTCATCTCACAAAGTCTGGTTTCTTTTAATGGGTACAGTCTAGTACACTAGGTATGACATTAAACAGTTCAACGAAGAGTTATACCATGTTATTCCGAAGAAAAACTTTTAAAAAGCATTGTTGCCACAACTACATTCTTCTACTAACAGGTGATGTCACTATCTGGCGAAATTCCGCCACCAACAGGCCAGGAGCGGAAGTGTCGTTTTGAAACAACCTAATTGAGAAGTTTTCAAACTAGGATCTATGAACACACTGAGAGCCGCATCGGGGTGCTAATGCTACGTGAACAATTCGAGAGTAACAAAATGCTGAATATGTTTTTCTTTTTATTCCTTGCAACGTATATAAGTTAGTTTTTTTTCTAATTTATGCAGGTTCACTTGTTGTCTTTTTCCCCCCATTAAATCAGATTTTGAATAATTTACTGCAGTGAATGGGTGCCGTCATAATAAGAGTTCAAACAGTTGTTAAAAACATAATAATCCACAAGTAATCCACATGACTCCAGTCTATAATGTCTTTAAAAAACATTTAAAAAGCTGCATATTTGTAAGTAATAAATCCATCATTAAGGTGTTGACTTAAACCGATGCTTCTGTCCAAAATAGTCTATTGCTCCATAAGAGTCCATAATCCATAATATCACTTCCTCCAGTGAAAAATCCACCCCTTATTGTCCTCTCACATCAAAATCTTTTTTTTTGCTTGTAAACAATGCTTTATCTGTGCATATTTCTCTCCTGATTCAGACGAGAAACAACTTTCTCCCTGGAGACAGCAACATTATGGATGAAGGACTAATTTACCCGGATCTCATCCAAATCTTGGATTGCCTTAGGGTGAGTAAATTTTCAGCAAATTTTCATTTTTGATTGGTATTCCTTGTGAAATATATTGGATGAGATTTTAATAAAGTAAAAAATAACAAAGGGAAGGTTTTTTTTTTTGGTGGTCTAGGCCAGTGGTTCCCAACACTGGTCCTGGAGGCACCCCAATACTGCATGTTTTGCATGTCTCCTTAATCAAACACACCTGATTCAGGTCATCAGCTCATTAGTAGAGACTCCAAGACCTGAAATTGGTGTGTCAGAGAACGAAGACATGCAAAATGTGCAGTGTTGGGGTGCCTCCAGGACCAGGGTTGGGAACTACTGGTCTAGGCGATCTCAAGAGTGATGATGGTCTGCTGCCTGTCAGATGAAATAGTCATAACATTCACAATAATGTATGGTTTCTCTTGGTTGGGGAGAGCTCTTCTCTGTGGGCTTAAACGGCTCTGGGCCCTGTGATACACAGGTCCTGATGACCACCCAGCTTGACATTTGATGTTTTCTTTCTTTTACTCACCCTTCTGCAGGCCCTAGGTCAGCCGCTGCTCTCGGATACTCAACGTCAACTTCCACAGAGCCTGTCACTCTGCACCCACAGTGCGATTCTTGTCAAAAAAGGTGCATGGAGAGCCTGTGAGGATGGATGATGTTGACTATGACTGGAATATGCATGATCTTTCATCTAATTTAACCTAACTGTTGCAGGTGAAGTTTACTTGGAATCTATTTTAAAACCATTATTCTGGCTATTTATATTGGCAAATGTGTTAATAAAATATGGGCAGGATAGTATTTGCTGTTATTTGCAGTCTCTCAAGTATCCTAAAATACAAGAATACCATATTGTGAAGCGCCTATTATACTTCAAATTTAATAAAGACACTGAGTCATTCTATTATAAATGAAAGCAGTATACCCATTTCACTCTTTAGAAGGCGCCAGCCGCGATTGTCTTGCATGATATTTCCAATTAGCAACTTTGAAGAGTGAGGGAAACTATGAATTAGGGAGGTTAAGAATGGGTTCAGTGGACATAACACATACTGAGTAGACCTGTCAAACCCAGAATCACACTTTATACACTTTACAGCAGCTCCGGAGCTTCTCTGAAAAGCTTTTTAATAGGTAGAAAGTACAAAACTGATTACTTATTGCATGTTTTATTTTTCCTAATGAGGTTATATTGTGATGATTCTCAGATAACACCTTTGTTTAAATCAATTTAACGTCAGTGTAGTTTCTGTCATTTTTATTTGTTTTTAAGAGTTTATTTTTTATTTTCTTCATCAGTAATGAAGTTCAAAGTTATTGAAGAATGCAACTAATGTATTGCACAGGTTGTAACTCTGGTACCACTTTGATTTTACTTAGACAATTAAGGTAAGAATTAAACTGAACTATTTTTTTTATTTGTTTATTTTATTTATTATTTTTGGAAATAAGTATTATCTGCAAGTATCTTTTAAGATTTAATTAAAAACATATGTCTGTTAATACAAGAAGTTGCTCTGCTGTATACACTCTTAAAAATAAAGGTTCTTTATTGGCATATATGGCTTCATGAAAAACTTTTAACATCCATTTCACAAAAGGTTATAGCAGAAAATGGTTCTTTAGTTGTTGTTGTTTTTTAATGTTCTTCACACTAAGAAACAATGGTTAAATCCTTAAGTAACACACTTTTCAATAAGGTTCCATGAACAATATTTAACTACAACAAAGTAAAATTCTTCTAAATCACTTGTTAATCTTATTAACTAACATTAACAAAGATTCATAAATACTGTAACAAATGTATTGTTCATTGATGTTCAATGTTAACTGAAGGACCTTACTGTAAAGTGTTCACTGAAAGGTTCTTTGGAACCTTAAAACAACATAGATAGTTTAGGACCAGCCATTGTTCATCAAGCCATAGTAATAGACCAACCATGTTTCATAGTGTTTATTTAAAAATATAAACTTTATAAACAGTACGGTTTGAGATGATCTCATCTGTCAGACAGAGGATCACAGCACTTCTTCTCCACAGGGTGGCGCACAAGACTTTTGTCTGACTTTGAAGGCATTCCATCTTGATACCGATATTGCTAAAGTGCATGTCTATTTTTCTGGTATTAAGCTCTATTACTAGCAGCTTCAACTATTACTATCAGCTTCAAATGCATAGCTGTTCTACTTACTGTATCTTATATGCAAAACTATATGTTTGCTATTGCTATGTAAAATAATACAGATGTCACCAACAATTGGTTGATAAATGCCTTTTTTTTATTGATTTATTTTTATTTACTGATTTTTTTATTTATCGTATTTATCGTGATTGTCCAGAATCGTCCGCTCCAGAATTATTACTGTACTTGAAAAGAAGGGATGGGCGTGATGGGCGTGATAAAAAGGATGCAGGAGCAAATGGTTTTCTCCACTCTTATTGGGTGCGCGCTTCACTTCTTCTCAAGACAAGCTAAAGGAGCAGGAACACAGGTTGCACCAACTATGGATTTAACAGGTAACATAATGGACAACATGAAGTAGAAATGAGGCGAAAGAAAACATAGAAAGAAATACTAGATTTCATGGTGCTGTTGGTATTTATGGATTTAATTTTTTCATCGGAAAGGTATGCAATTATTATAGAAGTGATATTAACTATAGAAAAGATCGCGCGTAACTGTAAAACTTTACTTTCGTTAACTTGTTGTGAGTTAAACGCAGCTGAACTTGTATTTTAGTTGAGATTAGGCGTTGCGTCTCGTTGCGCAATTTAATATCGTCAACCATCATATTGAGATATTATCAAGAGAAATTATCATTCCTGCACTATTGTTATTATTATTAAATATATATTTTGTTCTGATTTCTCGTTTTTTATCATTCAGGAACCATTGTGCAAATACTCTGAGCAGCTGCAACTGATGCGCAAAGACGAGAATAAAAGGAGTGTGTGACGGTGAGTTACAGACAGAGACAGAGACAGAGACAGAGAGAGAGAGAGAGAGAGAGAGAGAGAGAGAGAGAGAGAGAGAGATTAGTTTGGACCAGGTGATAGAGCCACATCAAACCTCCAAGGGGCTGATGGTTAAGATCAGTTTGCACAGGATTCGTGTTCCGATCATGGTGCCAGCAGCCTGTCCCGGACCCTTTGCCATGCTGGCTCTCGCCTTTCTCCTGGGATGTGGCATAGGGCTCTGTCTGGGCCAGAATGACACGGAGCCCATCGTTCTGGAGGGAAAGTGTCTGGTGGTGTGCGACTCCAGCCCCTCTTCTGACGGAGGAGTCACCTCTTCGCTTGGGATATCTGTGCGCTCCGGCAGCGCCAAAGTGGCTTTTTCGGCCGTCAGAGGGACAAACCACGAACCTTCGGAGATGAGCAACACATCCATGACCATCTATTTTGACCAGGTCAGGTGTCCCGTTGGTGACTTTGTAATCACAGGAACTGCATATGTAGGGCTGTGCTCAGGAATTTCATCCAGAAACTTCACGAAATGACAAATGCTTCTATTCTGTTGGACGATGTACGTTTTTAAACAGTTTAGTTGTGTTTTTCAGGGTAAATAATATTATTTAATTAAACGCATGCAGTGTTGGTCAGATACGATGGATGAAGTGCCTAATAGTCTCCAATATATACCTTTCAACGAATTGCTTAGTTGCAAAATAATTTTTATCGCCCATACTGTCAAAAATGTTAAATTTAACCAAGTGTATAGATTAACAAGCGTTTCGTGTTTAGATAACCGACCCGCTGTCAGTAAAATCGACCTGTAGTAATTAAAACTGACCCGACGTGTGACAGGTCTGGAATGCGCTTATGGAAAGCCGTTTTAACATGTAAACTATTGCGATACATGTTTTTGTAACCAGTAGGATACTTTTTTTTTAAAATAGGTTCTATTACCAAATAAATAATAGTATCAAACAAGTATCAAATATGTACTTGTACAACTGTACTGAACTGATACTAGTATCTAACTATTCAAACTGTTACAAATAACAAAAGAAGAATAGTGCCCAAATGAATAGAACTTGCAAAACTGAAATATCTGCTAGCAATAATTGGAATACATGAAAATGAATTGATATCTGCAACACATAATTCATAACTGAATAACCAGAAGAAGAAAAAAAAAGAACAATTTAACAATTTCTCACTACTGGAGTAGGTGCTAGTATCCAATGAACAGTTAGGCTACAAAAAATATTCCACCATTGGATTATCTTCAACTAATAAAATAATAAGTAAAAAAAATATATCTAAAAACAAAAATATTGACTGGTTGTTTGTAAGGAATAAATGTTAAAACAGCTTGCCACACTGCGCTCGAAGATCCGCATGTGTCTGTGTAAAATTGCAGAGCTAAAAGTAAATGTGATATGTAGATTCACACATTTTCATTTGCTAGCGGATTTGTAACGCGTCATGTTGCTTTTGTTTCAGGTCTTAGTAAACATTGGCAATTATTTCGACCTAAAAGCGAGTGCGTTTACCGCACCACGGAGAGGAATATACAGTTTCAGCTTTCATGTGGTCAAGGTCTACAACAGACAAACCATACAGGTGAGCAGAGCAGCATATGTGTTTGCACAAAATACAATTGCAGTCACCTCTCATACTGTGCGTTATTCACGAACCCTCGTGGAAAGCCTATTCTCTGCTTTCAAAGGACTAAAGTGCGCTGTGTCCTGTTATTCAGGTTAACCTGATGCAGAACGAGTACCCGGTCATATCTGCTTTTGCTGGAGATCAGGATGTCACGCGGGAGGCGGCGAGTAACGGAGTTCTACTGATGGTGGAGCGCGAGGATCGAGTCTATCTCAAGTTGGAACGAGGGAATCTAATGGGCGGATGGAAATACTCCACGTTCTCTGGATTTTTAGTCTTTCCTCTATAACTGACTCGCAGACTTGTTACTGCAAGTAACATTTTCCAAGTGACCGAGGAAGAACGAGTATCAGTTCTTTGAACAAAACTGAAATCTAGCAAAATTGCATATGGACGCGTCCACAGGGAGTTCCCGCCTTTTTTGGCCGCGGCGATTTTCAGTCACGATTGTTTGGATTTTATCGATGGGAAACAATTCGCAACTGACAATTACCTGGACCACTATATAAACGACAAGATATTTAAGACGAAGACGAACTTCAAATCCCGAACTAGGTGTATTTATCAGTGCTTTATTTTGTGTTTGTATAGCCTTAATGATTCGGCTTCCGTCCAGTGAGGTGTGTGGTGTGGAGCTGCGGAAGTGCTTATGGCCCCAAAGCATTTTTGCACGAATGGAAGATTCCTGTTTTGTGCTGTCAATGATGTGTCGTTTGGATGCAGAACATACTGAAAATATGCCAAATGTAGGCCACCTGCCATACAGTGATTATAATGAGAAAAAAAAATCATATATCAGCCAATTGAGACGTCTTAAAAACTTTTTGCTAGACATCTATCTAATTTATAAAATACATATTTACATTATGGTGTGTTCTACATTCCGGATAATAAGTAGCTTTGATTGATTTAGTGTTCAGTGACAATGCTCACAGATGTAAGTTGTGGAAAAAGAAAAGTCCCTATATAATGTCCCGCCTAATAAAATATTGTATTGTACACATATTTACTCAATCTTTTTATTATTAACCTTGATTATTTTTCTAATGAATGATAAAATCGTATTAATGAATTGCGCATGCGCATTTTTCTTTGCTTGACTACGATGCAATAGCGAATATAACAGCGCTGTCCATGGTGCTGAAGCAACACTCAAGACTTCAAGAAATATTCTCATTTGTCTCAAGACTGGATGATAAATAATTATGTATGCTGCTCTAAATACATTATTTATTTTTTGCAACCTTGAATCGTTCTCTGTTCAGCAATTTTTTAGCATAAAACCTACAATCTTTTCCAGTTACTGATGATAATGATACATACCTGAATAAATGGACTGAAGCAAGGCGATAGTAATGTTAAATTAGTTTTGGTTTCCACAACTGTTGGCCCATTGAAACACACACACACTCACGCACACATGAACACACACTCTCTCTCTGATTGTTTCATATACACACACTCTGTCTTTTTAGC